TCCAGAGAAGGGCTGGAGAGCATGCAGAAGTCAAAGCCTGGGACTGAGGAGACAGCAGAGAGCGGTGACATTCTAACAGGCTGCGGGGCTCCCGGTGGCTGTAGTCGCTTCACTGAATTCCTGCACTGCCCTGAGGCGGCTGGACTGCGGACAAGCAGGCCAGGGGTCTCTGGCCCAGATCGCTGCAGCTGACACCCACCAGGGTGGCCCCTTCCTCCCATCAGGCCTGACAGGGTCTCCTTGAGAAGCCCCACCTCTGGGTCTGCCCCACCATCCTTCCTTCATGGAGGAGGGCACCCCCCCGTCAACAGCTGGGAGGCTGCGGGGTGGGCCTACTGGTCTCCATGACGCAGAGTTCTTCCCAGTCCTCAAGCCCAGGCCCAATCCAGCCCAGCTGCACAGGGGGAGTGGGAGGGACAGAACCCCTTCATCAAGCACAGAGAACTTACTGTTTGAACAAGGAGGCACCTTTATCTTTAATGTGGAATTACTTCTGAGGAAAAGGAAAAGAACTGACCACAAAAAGAAATAAAGCCCTCTCTTAGAAGCAACACACCAGACTCACAAATCACAAACACAGGCCTGGTTTCTAAAAAGACTCCCTTGGAAAGACCCCAAGCTGGCCCACCAGCAGGGTCGCAGGGCCTTGCTGCTACCCCCAGCCCCCCATCACCGCCGAATATGACGGTCTTGGCAGCGCCAGGCCAGCCGTGACCCGTGGCTTCCCCTGACAGCCCCCAGAGGCAGGGACACAGGGCAGCATTGTGCGGCTGACCCCGCCACAGGCCCAGGACACGAGCTGTCTGGAGCCGGGGGCAGGACCAGGCCTGCCACCTGTCAGCCCGGGGCCCACGCCCCTGCCCCTGGGGGGACCTCAGTCCAGTTCCAGGGGGTCAGAATGGTGGGCCGCGGTGCACAGAAGCCCCAGGCCAGGGCCCTGGGCAGGCTTGGGCGGGTATGAGCGAGTGAGTGAGTCAGGCCAGCCATGGGATCCCCTCCCCACGCCTGCTGACAAAGGACCATTCAGGAGAGGCCAGACAAACAGTCCCAGCAGCAGAAACAGAAACTCGGAGCAGCTGCCAGGACCAGAGGCCCAGGGGCCAGGCCCATGAGACCCTGCCCACAGGCAGACCGCAGTACGAGGCAGCTTGACTGGCCCCTTCCGCTCTCTCTGCCCAACAGCCCATTGCTTGAAAGCACAGCTCTGGGTGGGCAGTTGAGCCCATAGGGCTCTCTGCACTCACGCTGACTTGCCTGGTGGTGGAAATGACATGGGATGATCCCTGACCTACGGGCCCGTATACTCGGAAACACACTGAACCTGGTCACTTGCCTGCGTGGAGGTTTACCTGACTTGTTTGTCTCAGCTTCAGGAAACGTACTGTCTCCTCCTTCCTGTTACATGCCTCATTGCCCCAGTCCCCACAGAGCCAAGGCCCACGCCTCTCTCCAGGTTCCCCCATTAGACTATGAGCTCCGTAGAAGGGAGGCACCTTCTAGGCATTCTCTGAATCTCCAACACTTTGCAGAGTGGCTGCTCAGTTAATGCCGAAGGATCAGACGTTCAGCACCATTATCCTTTTAAGTCAAATCCAACCTAAGCTCAAAACAACTCGAGGATCTGTGTGGAATTTTAGAGGAATTTTTAAACTTGCTCAGTGCTCCCCTCCCCCCATTTCCTGCTGCTCACTCTCCAGGTCTCCATCAAATCCCAGTCACCAAAACACTAGGATGAATCAGCTTCCCTGCATTGCCTTCGATCCTTAAGCACTTCCCAGACCTCCTGAGCTGTGCGCAGTCCCTCAGTCGTGTCCGACTCTGCGGGCGCATGGACTGTAGCCCGCCAGGCTCCTCTGCCCACGGAATTTTCCAGGCAAGAATACTGGAGTGGGTTGCCATGGCCTCCTCCAGGAGGTCTTCCCAACACAGGGATTGAATATGCATCTCTCGCATCTCCTGAATTAGTAAGAGGATTCTTCACCACTAGTGCCACCTAGGAAGCCCCCCCCCACCCGCCCCGAGACCTTCAATGAGGTCAAATTCCTAGTTTTCAAGCTCTACCAAAGGAACAGACGGACTAAGATGTCACATAGGCAAAAAGCATGTCCACTTTAGGTGTGTGTGGTGTGCAGCTGGGGATAACTGATAGGCAGGAGACAGCTTGGAGGGGCAAGTGGGCTTTCAACATGTCCTAGTGGGTGAGGACTTTCTCCCACATATGTTCAATTCACAGGTGCTCACTGGGCTTCATGTCTGACACCATGCACCACCCTGTCTGGGGAAAAAATGGACCTTGCCTTTAAAGAAGCAGGAGGGGGTGTGGGGAGTAGGCATGGACATAAGTAGCTAAGTACAGGCCCAGTGGGACTGTCCTCTAAAGGAAAAAGCAACAGAGTATTTCAGGGGTACCAGGAAAAGGAATATTTGTCTGTTTACTAAGAAATGTGCAGACTCTTTGCAATCGCATGGACTGTAGCTTACCAGGCTCCTCTGTCCATGGAATTTTCTAGGCAAGAGTACTGGAGTGGGTTGCCATTTCCTTCTCCAGGGGATCTCCCGGACCAGTGGATCGAACCCAGGTCTCCCACATTGCAGGCAGGCGCTTTACCCTCTGAGCTACCAGGGAAGCCAGGCGCTTTACCCTCTGAGCTACCAGGGAAGCCCTTACTAAGAAATAGGAAAAGCTATCTTAAAGAATGAGCACTGGAGAGGGGCCTCAAAGGACACTGTAACAATAATGAGTGCTAAGTCTCTTCAGTTGTGTCCAACCCTCTGAGACCCTATGGACTACTGTAGCCCCAACCAGGCTCCTCTGTCCATTGGGTTCTCCCGGCAAGAATACTGGAGTGGGTAGCCATTTCCTTCTCCAGGGGATCTTCCTGACCCAGGCATCGAACCCTCATCTCTTATGTCTCCTACACTGGTAGATGGGTTCTTAACCACTAGCACCACCTGAGAAGTCCTAAAAAATTGAAAGAAATTCTAATAATAATAACAATATGTCATTATTATTATTATTATTATTATTATTATTATAGCAGTTAATATCTAGCAAGTGTGTTCTATACGTTTGGCACAAAGAAGCACTTGACATAATTTAGCCCTTCTCAATCCTCAGGCCCATTTGACAGATAAGGAAACTGAGGCTTAGAAAAGTTAAGCAAACTAGGAAGTGTCAGCAGCCAGATTAGACCCCAAGTCTGTGCGTCTCCAAAGGCAACCATCCCCTGCTCTGCAGGCCGAAGTAAGGGTTCATTCCTGCTAGGGCCTGAGCAGAGGCAGAGGCGAAGTCCAAGGCTCGGGATGATCACATGGAGAAGGTGCCTGGTGCAATAGCTGCAGCCGGGACCCAGAGAGCTTCGAGGGCCGGTGCCAGGCACCTGTCCTCACCAACAGGCATGGAGAGGTTGGAATACTGGCCCACAGGATCAGTGGTAATTAAAAGCATGAGGGCTGAGAAAGTGGAAGGAGAGAGAGCCCATCACCATGGTCTGGGTGAGAGACTGCAGCTGGGCGAGGTGAGAGGGTACAGGGAACCCGTGAGCTCACGCCTGAGTGTCAGGTACGGATATTATGCATGAGTGAGAAGGGGAGAGAGACTGCAAGTGTGAGCCACACATGAGCGAGTGCGGGGGCCCTGCTTGTTGAAGAAGGAAGTTAGGGGGTCCTTCTGGGTGGGAGGTGGGGTGAGGTCAGCCGGGAAGAAAGGGAGGGACCGGGCAGAAGCGCTCAGAGGAATGAAACCATCATCTCAGAGGGCTCTGGGTCCTGGAAAGCCCACAGGGCCTGGCGTAGGAGAGGGACTCAGTTAACAACTGTTAAAGGGATGTACGTGTGACGTTAAGACCTTGCTTCTGGTCCCCTCCCGAGGACTGGCTTTGCCCTCCAGCCACGTGAGGGTCACTGTCATTCTAACTAGCTCCTCCCTCATCTCTGGCCCCAAATCAGAGCTTCTGAGCTGCAGCAGCCACATTCCCACAGCCGCAGCCTGGTCCCCTGGGCCCCAGCCCCCCTCCTGAGCCTCCCGCTCCCCCGCCCATCTTTGTAACAAGTGTGTTCCTGTGTGGGCTCCAGGCTAACTTCATACTTTCCAGGTCAGAGTCTCCCCTCCCCCTTCCCATTCCAGGGCGGAGAAGATGCTGCCAAATGGGATCCAAGGTTTTGTCTCGGCCAGAGATATTCTGCGTCTCATCAGAGACAGACAGCCCTGACCAGTGCCTCCTGTCACGCTCTCCAACTGCCCCAAGGCTGACTGTCCAGAGGATTCATAGGCCCAAGTGAATCTGGCCTCGTCCCTCCAGAGACCACATCTCCCAAGGCTCCACCAGGCCCCAGCTGTCATCCTGACAAAACAGACCAAGTGGACATGGTGTCCAGGAGGGGCCAGGGGCTGCAGCCTGGGAGAAAAGAACTCAGTCTCGGATTCTTGAGCATTTCCTGTCTCACAGGGTGAAAGGGGAGCCTTCTCAGGGGTGACCAGAGACCAGCCCCTTTCCTGCTCTGCTCAGCTACAACCCTGTGTTATAAAATTATAAGCACAGTCTGGCACCTGGAGAGAAAAGGGATCTTTTTCAAGACTGTATAATCTACGAAAACTGGGAGGAAAACAAATGCCTTAGAAATCATGAAATCTGACCCCTCTGCTGGCAGATGAGAAAACAGAGGTCTAAAATCTTGGAGGCTTTGGGGTTTGATCTGTGGTCAGGGAACTGAGATCTAGCATGCTGCGTGGTGTGGCCAAAACTAAAAAAATAAAATCATGGAGGTTTTCGGGTTCTATCTGTGGTCGGGGAACTAAGATCCAGCATGCTGCGTGATGTGGCCAAAAACTAAAAAAATAATAAAATTGTGGAGGCTTTCAGTTGCTGGAGATCAGTCTAAGACATTCCTGACTATCACCAGAAACCCAGTTTGCATCTAAAAGGGATATCTGTGATATGAACGCACTTTCCCTTGGAGCACAGCCAGGACTACACCTGGGTCTGCACCTCCAGGCTCACCTACTTTATGCGGCAGGCAGGGGCAGAGCCTCTCATAACTGGTCTGCATCCTCAGGTGTTCAGGCAGAAGCTGGTGAGTGATTTGTTAGACAGTGAGTCCTGGGGGCTGCCTGGCACAGTCTGCCATCCAGATGGCTGCCAGCGAGGTCCAACAGGGCCAGGCTCTGACTTACGGGGATCTGATGCTCTGGCTTCTCTATGGCTGCGGGGAGTTTCCAGGGTCTAGAGAACTGCTTCTGCTCCCTTCTCTCCTGGCCACATTCTTCAAGAAAACAGAATGAAGCAGGCTCCCCATCCACTAGGGCACCCACACTTTGAAAGGGACATGGTAGTCCCCAGATGATTGCTGGCAACAAAGGAAAAAAGGCAAGTGATGTGCAACAGGAAGTGGGGGGGGGGGGTGGTCACAAATCCTGGCTGAAGAGTCAGAGGCCTCAGCCACAGTGGAGTGCGTGACCTCCGAGTCTCAGTTTTCCCATTTGCATGATGTCCCAACTGGATGTCCCAACTGGATGTCCCCCTTCCGGCTCTGAGAAATCTAGGATTCTGAGGTCAGGGACTGTGTCTTCCTCATGATCCTGGCAATGAACACATAGTAAGTACTTAAAGCAGTTCACTGAATAATTGAATGAAGGGGGGCCCAAGTCAGTCCAGAGATCACAAGGTGGCCAGAAAGGAGACCCTGGCCTCCAGAGTCTACCACCAGACCCGGAGAGACGCTGCATGTGTTGGGAAAGCTCTAGCAATCCAGGAGCCCTTGGCAAACGGGCTTCCTGACCAAGACACACAGATGTGCTGGGGGGGCCAAGGAGAAAGCAGCAAAGTGTCCCTGGGGGGTGGAGGGCAGCCTGGACACTCCTTCCCCACCCACCAGCACCCTACCATACTTTCTAAATACACCTGGCTCCTCTCTTGCCTGCTCCTCCTCCTCCCAACCCTCCTCTCCAGGCTTTGTCTCCTCTCCCTGCCCTCCCTGCTCTCCTAACACAGTCACACCTTTCCTCCTTCCTTTGAGGGGGCTCAGAGCCTCAGCTTGTCTTGCAGCTGCCTGATCCCTTGTTAGGCAGGAGCCTCAGGGGCAGAACTGAGGCTCCTAGGAGGGGCCAGGAGCCTCAGGCTTTCTTAGGGTCCAGGCAGGTAGCAAGCAGTGTGGAGAGATTTAAATTCTGGTTCATGCCCAGCCTCTTGCATCTAGCATGAAGGAGAGGGGCTCCCCTTTGAGGGAGGCTGGAAGTGCATCTCCCCCCATCTTCTGCAGAGTTCTCAGGGCAATGTTTCCTCCTAGCCTTTTTGAGCCTTCCCCTACACGCTCCTCACAGAGCTGGATGAGGCAGGAAACCGTGCTCTCTCCTCCAGCGGGAGACCTGTTCAGAAGTAGCGTGTGTGTGTGTGTGTGTGTGTGTGTGTGTGTGTGAAGGGAAGCAATGGTATATGTTATTGCTGGTCTGTGTGAAAACACACACAATTCAATGACAGGTGTATGTGTAGCCTTGTGGGTTGTGTGCTGTGGTTTGATATATGCACGGTGTATTTGGCATGTACATGGTGTACATGTGATATGATATATGTGTGTGCTGTGTGTTTATGCAGTGTGTGTGGCAAGTAGGTGTGTGTCTGAGTGTGTGGGTGGTGTGGCGAGTGCATGTTTGGGGTGTGTTTGTGATGTGTACTGTGTGTTGGGGGAGCTGGAGTGGCTAGGGGCAACATCAGTGTGAGGTGGGACCTAGCATTTCAGGGTCTCTTACCCAGAGAAGTCAGGGATAATCAGTATCTAGGCAACCATGTTGGGGGGAGGGGAAGAGATATGGAGGTGAGGAATGGGCAGAAAAGGAGGGAGGCTGAGAATTGAAAAGGGGTTTCCATGGCAACTACTGGGCAGGTCACGTGAAAAAGGCCAAGGCAGAAACAGATATAGACATCAGCACATATACACGATGAGGGCCCTGGGACCCCAGAGTGGGGGCCCTTCCACGGAAGACATGGCTGCCCACTGATCCATCTCCAAACCTGGAAATCTGGGCCTAGGTAGAGCACATGATGCCAAGAAGACAAAGGAAGTGGAGACAGAGGCCACACTGGCGGGGAGAAGCCCTGGAAGCCACAACCCCTGAGGCTGGATGTGGGCAGCGGGGGGGCCTGGCCAGGCCCATTCTCCAAGCATGCCTGCTCCCTGCTCCCACCCTCAGGTGCTTCTTCCACCAGCCACCACTTGTAAGTGACCAGAAGCAAGTGCCAGGAGCCCCTTCCAACTCAGCAAGGAAGCCCAAGAGACACAATGGGGAAGGCTGTGCCAGGGCCAGCCCTGCTGGGGAAAGAGGGCAGGGTACCAGGAAAGGAGGGGATGGGGCGGGGGGACTAGGGCCCCCCTGGAAGAAGCCAGGACGGTTAGACAAGAGGAGAGGAACACTGATGCAGACACTCTCATGAATCCATGCCCTGGAACGCCAATTCTTTTTTTACCTGCCCCTCCTCCCGGTGCCCACTGCCCAGCCCCAGCTCCCCGTCCCCCAAGAGCCAAATCAGCAAGTCCCATTTCGCATGGCTCGTGTGTGCACACTCACAGCCAGCCACCTCCCCCCGTCTTCACAACCCCACACTCAAGTGTCCACAGCTTCCAAGTAACAAAGGGAAAACTAGCCCCCACCCGCCCTGGTACGAGGAGAGCAGCCCTTTCCCCCTCTTCCTAAACCACAGCCCCAAGCTCGGGACAGCAGCAAACGCCTTCTCCGAACAGCTTCACCCCCACCGCCACGTCCTGTCTCCCCCCTCGACGGCCCCTCTTCTCTTCCGACGCCCACCTCCCCTTTGGGTTTCCATCTCCTACCGGGTCTCCGCTGCCCTAGCGGTGTCCCTGGCGAGAACCGCTCACACCCACCGAAACAAACCTACCCTGGCAGCATCCTGGCGCCGCGCGATCGGTCCCCACCCCAGCCCCTCTCCCTCCTCGTTAGAGGAACCCAACTTCGCCACCTCTGCAGCCGCTTACCTGCGCGGCGAGTCCCCTCCGAGACAATCCCAGGAGGATGAGTCGAGTCCGGAGGAGCCTGGGAGTGGCGAGGCTGGGGGAGGGCGGTGGGCGAGGCTTTCGCTGTTTTTCCCGCCTCCCCTGCTGGGAAGGGTGGGGGCGGGCTGGAGCGGCGGGTCCGGCAGGGGTGGGGAGTGGTGGGCGGGGGCTCGGCCGGGGCTGGGCTCCGGGGACCGCGGTGTCACCATCCGCCGGCCTCCAGGCAGCGTCGGCGCGCGGACCCCCTTCTCGCCCGGTGCTGCCCGCCCCTCGAGCGCGCCGCCGCAGCTCCTGGGTGCGGGCGGGATTCAAAGGGCGGGCCGCTTGGAGAAGCAACAGGAGACGGCCGCCGCGGGGACGGGCCAGCGCGCGCGCATCCGCCGCCAGCTGTTGCTTTTTGGTTTTCCTCGGCTGAGGGTGGGCAGGGAGAAAGACAAACACGATGACACAGCTAGTGTCTCTCCGAAATAGTAAACTCGGGCGGGGTGGGGGGTGGGGGGGGGTGGGAGGCGGGGAGGGGGACGGAAAAATACGAGAAAATAACCCAGCACCAGACACTGCAACCCACGTTCACTGGGAGGCTTGGCAGTTAAGGGGAAGGCGCACCTAAAGCATGAATGGCTGTGTCGTAGGCGCGCGCGCCGGCTCCGGCTGGAGTTGTCATTTTCAGCGAGAGCCCGGTGGGTTGCTGGAGGCGGGGGGTCGCCGGAACCACAGATTTGCAGCCCAGATCCTCCTCATCGGGGCCCCTCGTCCTGCCCCTGCAGGGTCACAGTACTGCCCCCGTCCCCAGTCCACTTCTCAGGTCCAAATTCGAGGACCACAAACCTTAAAGAGGAGATTTAACTCCTAGCTCGGCCACTCCGCCCGTGATGCGACCTTGAGCACAGCGCTGAAGGGCGCTCTGGAGCCTCAGTTTCCTTCCTCGTGAAATGGCGGTGAGAGCACTGACCCCCGGGGCTGAGCCCGGGCGCAGAGTGGGCGCCCAGCGAGCAGAAAGATGCTCTGAGGAGCAGGGCCTGTAGGAAGGGCTCCAGGCCAGGCGCTGGCAGAAACCGCGGATACAGCAAGGGCTGGCCACTCGGTTGGTAGCCAGGAAGCCACGCTGCCGGTCATGAAGCTGCCCAGACGAGCCTGGAGGGGGACCGGGCAGGATGGAGCCGGGAATTCCTGGGAGAAGCTGTCCAAGCCGTAGAGGGGCCACAGGGGCTTCCTCACAGACCCTGTACCCTAGAACCACGGATACTGCCAGCCTTACCTCAACACTCCCAGCCCTAGCCCTCAGTTTTCTCATTTGTGATGTGAAGGAGAGGGACTCAATAATCCAGAACCACCTTCCAGATGGACCCTCTGTGACTGAATTATCTTGAGAAATGGTCCAGTCTCAAAACCCCAAGGCAGGAAATAAACATGGGTTCCAGAAGGCTTTGCCCAGATGTGGAAGCCATGAGTGGCTACTGAGAAAGAGTAGGGAATGCTCGAGAGGACAAGATGCCTCCATGAGCACCGGACCTTGGACAGAGTGGACGCCTCACTCTGGCCCAGTCCCCAAAGTTCCTTGGGTGCCCGTGAAAATCAAAGCTCTTTCATCAAAACCTGGCTCAGATTTCTCAGATCCGTGTGACTTTACACGAATTTGCCCCTGTCTGTTGCTCTACATATGAGCACTTGGTTCCAACTGCCCTTCTCCCTCTTCTTTTTGCTCTGCTCTGAGAGATGAAGCCACATCACTCACGAGGCCCGTGTCCTTCGCAGACGCGCTTGAGTGCTACCAGCTGCCACCTCACTGTGTTGTTTTTCAGAGTTTCTCCTGGTGAGAACACTTCAGACCCCGACTCTGCAAGTCTGTTTGGGAAAGGACAGGCCAGGGGAGCGGAACTCCAAAGCCATGCCACCTGTTAATACCAGCCCTTTTCTTACCAGAGAATGCCATGGTGTTTGCCCAAATTACTCAGGTGCCTCAGGGCAGCAAAGAGCCACAGAGGAACAGTAGGAGCTGCATCATATGTGGAAGGGCTGAAAATGTGCTTCTCCCCGGTCCATCCAGGGCCACAGTGAGAGAGTTTGGGGTGACACAGCTATGGAGTCACACACAAGCTTGTTCTTGCAGGAGTCCCGGCTCCCTTCTAGGAGAGGAAGAAACGCATCTAGCCCCTATGACACATGCGGATGTCAGTGAAAAAGGTCACCAGCTGCCTCTTTCTTTCCACACATTTATGGTATGAGGAGCTACTGGGCATTGAGCCCCGGGCCAAGCTCCAGGCTGCGCAGTGAAAGTAAAGTCATGGTCCCTTGGAGCCATGGGGCTTCTCTGGTGGCTCAGCCAGTAAAGAATCTGCCTGCAATGTAGGAGCCCTGGGTTTGATTCCTGGGTCAGGGAGATCCCCTGGAGAAGGCAATGGCTACCCACTCCAGACTTCTCGCCTGGAGAATTCCATGGACAGAAGAGCCTGGTGGGCTACAATCCATGGGTTCACAAAAAGTTGGACACAACTGAGAGACTAATACACACTAGAACTGATGGGTGAGGTAGAGATTTATCAAATAACCCCATGGATAAATGTGTCATTAAAATGGTTTTGAGCCCTGAAGAGGTAGCATTTGAGAAGCAAGCATGGTCAGGAGGTGTTATGGAGATGAGGTGAAGGAGCCAAGAATTGGAGTGACAGGTGGGGTTGGGAAATGATGATTCTGACAGGGGAACAGAAGTCACACGTGCAAAGGCCCTGAGGCAGAAGGCACATGCATGAAAGGAGCCGCTGTGACTCTGAAACAGAAGAGACAGGCTGGAGAAGGATGCAGACGCCAGTCCAGGCAGGCCTGGTGGTTCCTGGGTGAATCCAACTCTTATTCTTAGGACAATGGGAAACCTCTGAAGGGCCTTAAGAGAGCTGTTGCAAGCAAGAATTGGGGAGTGGCAGACTCTGCAGTGTGGGGGATCCCACAGTCAAAGGTGAGGAACTGTCAGGAGAGCAGGGCTCATGTGAAGCTAGGAAATGGGCCTGCACCCCAACGAAGGGAGCCCTGCATCTCCAGAGGCCAGGGAACAAGGAAAGAGCTGGGTGGGGGTGCCTGGCCACAGTGACAGGAGGACGAAAAAGAACAGAAACCTTCTCTAAAACCCTCCCCACCCCCACCCCTCCAGAATAAGAGCCATGCTGAGACTTAAGGTTTGGAAGGGTAGTGTAACTGTTTCGAGCTTACAGACTCACCTATGCTTTAAAGCTAAGCGAAGTACTTTGCAGTAGTGCTGCTAAGACCCCGTGTGGATAGCACTTGCCCCCAGTTGCCTTGTCCTGTGGCAGACACAGACCTTCAGCATGTCAGCAACCCCGGTCACACGGCCATGGACAGGAAGCAGAGGGCCTGCAGGGAAAATTAAAAGAGCAAGACCAGAAGCCATCCGAGGAGATCCCTGTCCTTCCTAGCAGGTCCCTTTGGGTGCTGTTTCATCCTGGGGTGAAGACTGCCGGACCCAAATAGACCCTGCCCACCAGTTGTTTACTCTGGATCCATTTGTACTCATTCTGCTTTGTAGGAATTTGAAGGCATGCTATCCCAGACCTCAGCCAAATGCTAAGCCCCCAGATCCTAAGACAGAACTATTTCCTAACTCTTTGCTGAAAGAGTTCTGCTCACTTCAAAAGCACTCCTTGGTCATGCTCCCTTCCTCCTTTCCTGATCTTTCCCCAACTCTTCAGCTTCTCCCTCAAGCAGCTGTGCTGGGCTCTATGTCCTCTGCTCTGCATTGTTCTGGGACAGTCCAATTCACAATCATGATTTTGCCATGCACTTGGGGCTAATGACCCCCTCTCTCAGCCTGGTCCTTACCCCAGAAACCTGGAGGAGTTATCTCCAGGGGCTCAGTGGTACTCACACTGGATCCATCATCTGACCCCGCTTCCCCCCTGCCCCCACTGCCCCCCACCGCCCCCCTCTCCCCCCGCCAGAGCTGACTCTCCTTCCCTGCTTTTCCTTGACTTTGGAAATGGTACTGCTCCAACACTGTTATCATCTGGAAAAGTGTGTACCATCCTTATGCCTCTCCTCCACTGCTTCTCTTCTAGGTCAGGCTCCATGGTGTCAGCCTCCCATTGGTGTCAGTCTCCCCACCCTATGCTAACTCTCGTTTGGAAATTAGTTTCTACAACACTGATGTGACTCAAACCTTCCTAGGCTCCGATTCTCTACAAGTTAAAATCCAACTGCTTAAAATCCAGCATTCAGTCTTTACCACCCGACACCCACCTACCTTTTCTGCTTCGGCTCTTGACCCATTCTCTGCCCTGCCTTCCCCCTCTTATCACTCTGGTCCCTCAATCCTGGCAAATGCTGTTCCCCAGACCAACACGGCCACTCACAATTATTCGAATACCCTGCTGCTTGCCTGCCCCTAAGCTTTTGTTCATATAATCTTGTCTGCTTAAGACATCCTGTCCCTCCCTTCTCTACTTAAATGAATTGCATCTACCATGCAAAGTGAAATTCAAATATCACCTTACTGAAATTAAAGCTGTCTTGTCCATGAGGTCATGGACTGCACTGTCTCTGCATCTATGCATGTACATACCATAGTCTGAATTTTTCTGTGTTCGATTTCATGTGTGCCACCTACCAATAAGGAGACAGCAGTTTGATCCCTGGGTCAGGAAGATCCCCTGGAGGAGAATATGGCAACCTACTCCAGTATTCTTGCCGGAAAATCTCACGGAGAGAGGAGCCTGAAAGGCTATAGTCCATGGGGTCGCAGAGTCAGACACGACTGAACACACACGCATGAGACCCTAGTAGAATGGGAACTCCTTGAGATCAGCCAGCCATCTTACTCCATTTATACACCCCACTGTCTTGCATGGTGACCCACTTATAATAAATTTAAGTGAATCACAGCTCACAAGATCCTACATGATCCTACCCTAGCCCCCCTCTCCAGATGCATTTTGAACACTTTCTTCTGTGATCTCTCTCCAGGCAGCAACCTTTCAGCTTAACCAAAGGGTCCTCAGAACTGGTTCCCTGAGCACTGGTACCCTGGGCCCAGACCACACCTGTGAGATGCATTTGCTTTTTTCTCTCGTCCCAAGATGAAGGGGGTAAGGAAGCTAGTGCTGGTGAGGCCCCAGGCAGAGGAGAGGAGGCCAGACTGCCGGGAGAGGAGGAACAGGTAACCCTGACATGACATTGGGGTTGAAAAGCAGGACTTCACTGACTGTGGATGGAGCCATAGAAACTGCCGAGGATGGCAGACACCACTGGTTTTCCAGACCAGGTCTGCTGCTGCTGCTAAGTCACTTCAGTCGTGTCTGACTCCTTGTGACCCTATGGACTATAGCCTGCCAGGCTCCTCTGTCCATGTCTTCTTTTTCCCTTCTATCAGAACTTTTTTCTAAATCAGGTCCAAGAGGTTTGGTTTGTTTTTTATTTATTATTTTTGGCTGTATTGGATCTTGCTGCTTTACACAGGCTTTCTTTAGTTGCAGCGAGTGGGGCCCACTCTGTTGTGGTGTGCAGGCCTATTGTGGTGGCTTCTCTGGCTGCAGAACACTGGCTCCGGGTGGGCAGGCCTCAGTAGTTGCAGCATGCAGGCTCAGTAACTGGGGCTCACAGGCCCTGGAGCGTGGGCTCAGTAGAGTTGTGGCACACGGCTCTAGTTGCTCCACAGCATATGGACTCCTCCTGGACCAGGGATCAAACCCAGGTCCCCTGCGTTGGCAGGCAGACTGTTCATCCGCTGCACCACCAGGAAAGTCCTTGTTCAGTTTACACTGCTGATTCTTCAATAACTAGGGGCATTCACATGATCCAGTTTTGGCCAAGGAGATGGGAACAGAATCACACTGAGGAAGAATTCTAAGGAAGACACAGTAATATGTCCCTTTGCCCTTTGCTCTTTTCTGTTTCTTCCTTCTTCTGTTCCCTCTCTTCTTCCTCATCTTCCTGCTCCTTCTTCCCCTCCTCTTCCTTTTTTCTAAATTAGACTATAGTTGGTTTATAATATTGTGTTAATTTCTGGCATACAGCAAAGTGATTCAGTCATACATATATATGTACATATACACATATGTATGTGTATATGTATACATATACACATATGTATGTGTATATGTATATATATACACATGGCTTCCCGGGTGGCTCAGTGGGTAAAGAACCTGGCCTGCAATGCAGGAACCGCAGGAGATATGGGTTCGATTCTTGGGTCAGGAAGATCCCCTGGAGGAGGACAGCAATCCACTCCAGTATTCTTGCCTAGAGAAACCCATGGACAGAGGAGCCTGGTGAGCTATAGTCCATAGGTCAAAAAGAGTCAGACATGACTGAAGCAACTGAGAATGCAAGTGTGTGTGTGTGTGTGTGTGTGTCTGTGTATATATATATACACACATATATACACACATATATATACATATATATTCTTTTTCAGATTCTTGTCCATTATAATTTATTACAAGATATTGAATATAGTTCTCTGTGCTATCAGTAGCACTTTGTGGTTTATCTGTTTTATATATAGTAGAGGATTGATGCTCCAATACTTTGACTACCTGATGGGGAGACCCAACTCATTAGAAAAGACCCTGATTCTGGGAAAGATTGAAGGCAGGAGGAGAAGGGGACGACAGAGGACGAGTTGGTTGGATGGTATCACTGACTCAATGGACATGAGTTTGAGCAAGCTCCAGGAGATGGTGAAGGACAGGGAAGCCTGGCGTGCTGCAGTCCATAGGGTCACAAAGAGTCAGACACAACTGAACGACTGAACAACAAAATGTGTATCTGTTAATCTCAAACTCCTAATTTACCCCTCTCCTGCTTTTACCTTTGGTAACTATAAGTTTGTTTTCTATATCTTGTCCTTTTTGGGTCAGAAACATGAGTGTGATGCCTGGAGGTGAAGCAGCCATCTTGCAGCCATGAAGAAAAAAGTCTTCAACTCAGGATAGCAGACTAGAAAGAAAGGAAGCTAGAAGGAGCCATCAGCAACATCTGAATAACCTAATTCCAAAGTTCCTGTTATATGAGAAAACTCAGCTTCTAGTACATAATTTTTTTTTTTCCAGACTGAGTTTTTTTTAAAGATGAGGACAGGAGGATGGGGGTGGGGGGAAGTTTGTACAGGCCAGGACTCCCCTCCTTCTGTAAGCTCTGGCCCTCCCTGGCCCTAGGCTAGAGCCTTTAAAGGGTGGGACTGCTGGAGGCTGTCAGCAGCTCTCCTCACCTCTACTAGAGGTGGCACCGGCTGACGTCCCCACCCTGCCCCAAGTACATACATTGACTGTTACTGGTTTTCTGTTCCATGCAGCCAACACAATCCTAAGGGATACAAGTGGGGAGAGCAGCCTTTAATCACGAGAGAGCAGAAATTCAGCACAAGCCTTCCTGCCCTAGAAGACCTCTGCCTGCCACTCACAACCCCACAGGCAGGTACCTGACACGTGCTAGCACATCAGAAACACAAATCTCAGCATCTCTCTTCTTGGAGTGGATCCTGCATGGTCCCTTTCCTTCGCTATCTTTATCCAGATCTTGATTTTTGGAAAGGGAAGAAAGCAAAGGCAGTCAGGGCGGGGGAAGTCTGAAATAAAATCTCTCCCTCTCTTCCCACAGGAAAACTATGACATATGTCAGGAAACAAGGCATGCCAAAGCATGGATGAGATTTATTTCTAAGTGAAAAATTCATCCCAATCCCATTAGTCTGGAAAACTTAAACTGCTGCCTGATTAACTTAAACTTGTCTTGTAAGCATGTAACGTCACCGTAAGGTGCTGATTTCTAATTATGAGCACACTTCTTCCAGAGCTGCTGGTTATTCAAATTGGAGCACATGATCACTCCTTCCCACCCCCCAGCCTTTCCACTCTGCAAATATGCACCCATTTGTCCTTTCCTAGTGAATGCAAATGGGAGAAAACTGAGTGATGTTGCCCTTTGGATATAATGATGTCGGAAATTCAGTACATAATGGCTCCCTAGACAAGACCAGAATAGCTTCGTGTTTCTCTTTTCCCTATGCACAGAGGAACTGACAGCCTGTTAGCGTGAGCAAGCATCTGAACTCCCTGCCCCTCCCTGAGTTCCTGAAGCCAGCTTTCAGGCAAAAGACACTTGTTTATCATCATACACTTTCTTCCAACCCACTGGATCTGGGCTTGGAATAGAGGCTGCAGCTGAGTTTGGGGGCCAGGAAGAACCCTAGGGACCCAGCAGGCATCTCCAGTCAGTCTATAAACCAGCTTTGCAAATAGGCAATAACCCACTAGCCCAGACACTTTGCCAGGCAAGTAAGACTGTTCTGAATCCACTTATTATTTTGTGCAGCCCCAACGTCACCTCCACCCCAAAGCCTGAGCTGGAGTTTAGGGGAAAAAAAATAAAAGTGATTTAGAGCTGGCAGATTGTTGAACTTCTGTGCAAGGAAGTTTCACATGAAGCCTGAAGATTGACTGCCACGAGGGCAGAGGCGCTTCCATACAGGGCAAACTCGGGCGCCAGTCAGCAACCTACAGTCTCCCAAAGAGGATCCAGCAGTAGCCAGAGGCCTGGCATCCTGGCCACTTGTGGTCATGGAGCCGCTGCCCCTCGGTCTGTTTATGATGGACTCTGTGTCCATCAAAAGCTCCCCTGCCAACCCTCCTGTAATTCACTTGTCTCTTTGATGACGCTGTTCGTGTAATTGCCTCTCAGACCAGAGGCGTGTTTGATGTCTACCTTTTAAAGCATTATCTCTATTGATTTTCATTTGTCAGGCCTGGTATGGAAGCTTAGATGTAGTTAGTGGGAGGTGATGGGTATAAAATGTTCCCCATTCTGACCGTTTATTCTAACAGTAAACATTTATATAGCCCTTGGCACACAACTCCTTCCCGGCACCTTGTTAAAAAGAGAATCCACAACTGTCTTCCTAAGTTTAACTCAGAACTTTCTTTCAGAATCAGAAGAAGGGTTGCAATGATTTCACCCAGGGAATAATCTAAGTTGTTTACTCTTATGTGGTGCCTACATTTTTAACCCTCTCCCCATCTAGCCAATATAATTGGGGTGTGTGTGTGTGTGCATGTGTATGCTCAATCGTGTCTGACTCTTCGCAGCCCCTTGGACTGTAGCCCACCCGGCTTCTCTGTCCATATGATTTCCCAGGCAAGAATACTGGAGTCTGTTGCCATTTCCTTCTCCAGGGGATCTTCCTGACCCAGGGATTGAACTCACATCTCTTGCATCTCCTGCATTGGCAGGTGGATTCTTTACCACAGTGCCACCTGAGAACCCCTATAATTGCTGTATAATAGGTACTTGTTGAATGCAAAAGATGGGAATGAAATTGACAGAGAAAACCACTACACAGCAATAATTAGTCCCCATGTAGGTGCTGTGAGGCAGTCTGAAGTTGTTTCTTGTCTGACAGCAAGGGAAAAAGGAGAGACAAAAGCAGGCTCCCTGAGACACGGTTCACAGATGTTTGGCCCAGCAAATTCATCTGGAGACTATTTTTTAAATTATGGTAAATTGTGTTTCCAAAGATGGCCTCTCCCTTCCCACAGGCTCATCTGCAGTAAACTTTTGTTACTCCTCCCACTGAGAAGTGGGGTCTCTTTTCTCCCCCCTTTCAATCTGGGCTGGCTCTGTGGTTTGGTGTGAGCAATAGGAAGAGGCAGAACTACATCGTGTAACTTTCTAGACTGGGCCTTAAGAGATCTTCAACTTCTGCCTTAAATATTTAGAATGCCACCTCTTAGAAGCCTACTGTCTTGGAAGAAGTCAGACTACCCAGGAGGGAGAGAGAGACACCACGTGGACATGCCTAGCCTAGCTGAGCTCCCAGCTGCAAGCAGCCCCTTGAGTGACACTGACCACAGACCTCTGAGTGGGGACCCTGCCAGAATTCCTGCTCCTCAGATGAGTAAATGAAATTGTTGTTGTCTGAAACAGAAAATTTGGTGCACATACTGCTGTATTGTTTTCAGAAGATTTGCAATCCCGATGATAGTGTAAAAACCATAACCTTGATGGAGAAGGAAGGCAATTTAATATTTCATCTGGATCCAAAGGTGCATCAAATTAAAGGACAGCTCTAATTGGCAAACAGGTGTTTCATGATGGTATTCAAGAAGAAGTGGCTGGTGATGGACAATTCAGAAATGCTTCCCCGAAAGGTTGGTGGTTCTTTAAATAAAGTTTCAATCTGAGGGCTGTCTTTTCACCTTGCTTATAGTTTCCTTTGTTGTGCAAAAGCTTTTAAGTTTCATTAGGTCCCATTTGTTTATTTTGCTTTTATTTCTAAAATTCTGGGATGTGGGTCATAGAGGATCCTGCTGTGATTTATGTCGGAGAGTGTTTTGCCTATGTTCTCCTCTAGGAGTTTTATAGTTTCTGGTCTTACATTTAGATCTTTAATCCATTTTGAGTTTATTTTTGTGTATGGTGTTAGAAAGTGTTCTAGTTTCAGTCTTTTACAGGTGGTTGACCAGTTTTCCCAGCACCACTTGTTAAAGAGGTTGTCTTTTTTCCATTGTATATCCTTGCCTCCTTTGTCGAAGATAAGGTGACCATAGGTTCGTGGATTTATCTTTGGGCTTTCTATTCTGTTCCATTGATCTATATTTCTGTCTTTGTGCCAGTACCATACTGTCTTGATGAAAATAATAGCAAACGAAGCAACAGACAAAGGATTAATCTCAAAAATATACAAGCAACTCCTCCAGCTCAACTCCAGAAAAATAAATGACCCAATCAAAAAATGGGCCAAAGAACTAAACAGACATTTCTCCAAGGAAGACATACAGATGGCTAACAAACACATGAAAAGATGCTCAACATCACTCATTATCAGAGAAATGCAAATCAAAACCACAATGAGGTACCATTACACACCAGTCAGGATGGCTGCTATCCAAAAGTCTACAAGCAATAAATGCTGGAGAGGGTGTGGAGAAAAGGGAACCCTCTTACACTGTTGGTGGGAATGCAAATTAGTACAGCCACTGTGGAAAACAGTGTGGAGATTTCTTAAAAAGCTGGAAATAGAACTGCCATATGACCCAGCAATCCCACTTCTGGGCATACACACCGAGGAAACCAGATCTGAAAGAGACACGTGCACCCCAATGTTCATCGCAGCACTGTTTATAATAGCCAGGACATGGAAGCAACCTAGATGCCCATCAGCAGACGAATGGATGAGGAAGCTGTGGTACATATACACCATGGAATATTACTCAGCCATTAAAAAGAATTCATTTGAATCAGTTCTAATGAGATGGATGAAACTGGAACCCATTATACAGAGCGAAGTAAGCCAGAAAGATAAAGACCATTACAGTATACTAACACATATATCTGGAATTTAGAAAGATGGTAACGATAACCCTATATGCAAAACAGAAAAAGAGACTCCGATGTATAGAACAGACTTGTGGACTCTGGGAGAAGGCGAGGGTTGGATGTTTCAAGAGAACAGCATTGAAACATGTATATTATCTAGGGTGAAACAGATCACCAGCCCAGGTTGGGTGCATGAGACAAGTGCTCGGGCCTGGTGCACTGGGAAGACCCAGAGGGATCGGGTGGAGAGGGAGGTGGGGCGGGGGGGGGACCGGGATGGGGAATACATGCAAATCCATGGCTAATTCATTTCAATGTATGACAAAAACCACTGCAATGATGTAAAGTAATTAGCCTCCAACTAATAAAAATAAATGAAAAAAAAAAAAACACTTAAGCTAAAAAATAAATAAAATTAAAAAAAAAAAAAATTCCAGGCAATGTTCTGGAAGGCCTGGGTAGTTTGGGGAGCAAATTATGATTCCATACTGTGATCTTCATATAATTGAAGCAGCAAGTAAAACTATCTGGTATGTGGATATTGACATTCACTATCAAAGTCTATACACATTTATATGCTAGACAACTTCCACTATTTTCTCCCTGTAATTAACCCCTGAAAGTGCCTCAGAAGCCCTTTTATTAAGCTGTACCAAGTGTAATATTTAAAACCTTTAAATAAAATATTCTATAATTATGGAAAAATAAATAAATAAATAAAGTTTCAGGTAACAACCGTTGCAGAAAACACTGATGCCCAACATGCTGGTTCTCGGTTCAGGAAATGTGGGTCTTCCAGGTATTAAAATAATAATAAACAAGCAAGCGAACAGAAAATTTGGGAGCATTTTGTTTTGCAGCCATAGATGACTAAAACAAGATGACTGGGCCCGACCCCAAACCCATGGATCAGATTATCCAGGGCTGCAACCTGGAACTCAGCATCTTTACAGACCCTCCCTGGCACTGAGAAAGAGAGCTGGGTCTCCCCCT